CTCATTATTCTGTCGATTCATCAAAGACGCAGATTAAAAAATAAAAACAAGTTTTCATTTCCATCCCTTTACTCAAAAACAGGACATTATTTCAAGTGGAAAAAAAATTTACAAACATAAATGGACGATTCAGTCACTGGACTGGTCCGTAACATCTCAGGAAAAAAAGGGCAAAGATATGTATTTTTTTTCCAAAGTAAAAGCAGATGTTTGCACATGTGTTTTTTTTTTTTTTTTTTTTTTTGTTTTTTGTTTTTTTTAAATAAGCCTGCTTGGATGCAGGGCTACCGGCCAGAAATCCAAGAATATTCACTGGTTAGAGAAAATTCAGAGGATTTGACAATTTGAAATTAAACTAGGTCTTGAAACAAGTCGTCAAGGATCAAAACTGATGATCAATTCGTGTCATTATTTTCCATCAAGGGATTCATAATTGCAGATCAAAAATGTTGAAAAACATTCACCTGTTTCGCCATGGCACCCTATTTCCTCATAGTTGCTGTATTCTTACACTGCGGCGCAAACGAGTTCCAAAACTGAACTTAAACCGTGCAGAGCAGCAAACCATATTTTCCTCTCAAGAAACATTAAGTGAGATTTTGTGCTATGAGACGAAAGCGATGCCAAGCCACAGTAACGGGACTCAACACTGCGACCATTATGCTCGCAAATGCCCCCATTTTGTGTGCGCCCATGTGTGTTCGTGTGTGTGTGTGTGTGTGTGTGTGTGTGTGTGTGTGTGTGTGTGTGTGTGTGTGTGTGTCTGCTGGTAGAAATTTCATCTGGTCGCACTGACAGGATAGCATGTTTTAATGCTCTTGCCGGTACTTGGGGTTGGTGGTGGAAATTTAGAAACCACACGCATGTATAGTGCTCTCTCCACTAAACGTCACCATCTGGGGGGTCAACGTTGTCAAGGCAATGCCAAATCACTACAAGGCTTTTCCCTTCCTTGCAGAATGCCATCATTCTTTCACCTCAATGTTTCAACTGGCTGAGTGACAGTCCCCCCCGCCCCCACCTTGCATCGTGTCCCTGAATTGAGCAGTCCCTGGACTTTGATAGAGCGGGCCCGGGGGCCGTCCGTGCGTTTACCCCCGGCGCTATACTATCGATCAGGAAATCGCTGCGTTTGCTCAACGCTCAACCTTTCCACACGCATCTGCGCAAACACAGCATTCTGCAACTCACGTCTGACATAAGCGTTGCCCTTAAACGAGTGCGTTAATGTTTGATAAGTCACGTGCAGACAGTCTGACACACTGACTGTTTATTTAGAACCTGACGCAAACTTATAACCTCGAGCAGGAAGGTTCTGTTTCGCCTACAATAAATTATATTATTCTGATATGTGATTAGGACAATGAATATAATGAAGGTATTTAAAAAAAAAAAAGCTTAAAATATTTTTCAAGTCGTTCAAAAAAATGCCCAATACTCGGTTAATTTCACTGGATAATTTGCAGCCCCCCCCCACCCCCATCCCCCACATACGCACCCATCTAAAAACCAAACCATTCAAATGTATACATACTGGTGACATTATCGAAAATGTGAAATGAATTACAAAAAAAAAAAAAGAAGAGTACAAATGAAAGGTAAACATAAATAAAAAATAAAATACATTTTACAAACCTGCACTTAGAACAAAATGTGCCAGGTGTATGTAGCTAAAAAGCTAAAATGACAAATCAGGTTTAAAAAAGACTGCAGACTGGGCAGCAACTGAAATCAGGCATGTTCAAATCCCATCAGGTCAGTTTGTAATTTATCATGGTTATTTGTGATCTTGTTACATTTCACTCGCTTGGATCCAGATGAAACTGAATAACTTGGCCTCTCCTATAATGCCGCCAGGAACATAAGCTGAATCGTGTAGCCTTGACCTGACTTCTGCGAATTTGAGTTACAGACTACCAGAAAGCGGCGCGTCCCTCCTACCTGATGGCGTGATGTGGTGCCAGTCGCTGACAAAGGCCGAGCCCGGAGACGAAAGCCAGGACGTGAGGAGAAAGAGCAGGAGGCCGAAGGAGGGTGAGGACGCTGCTGCCATGATGCTGGGGAAGAATGACAGAGAGAAGAGTGAACGGGTAACACAGTGATTATAATTACCAAGATCGCATGTCCGTGTGGGGGGGGGGGGGGGGGGTGCCCCT